CGTTGTCTGCACCAACCGGCCTCTGCAACACTCTGGTCTTTGCAGGTCCGCGTCGGCCTCACGTGTTGTCTTCCGCACCTGAGCTTCTCAGAGACGGCACGTGCAGAGCCCGAGACAGGCACAGACGGCATTCGTCAGAGACTCAGTACATCACAAACAGTCCGAGAGGGACCGCTTCCGCAAGGCTTCATGTGGCGGAATTTTGAAAATTATCAAAGTTTTAAAAAAATCAAAAAATGCTGGAAATTGTCCAAAAGGCGCACAAAACCAAAAAAATTTGAAAAATTTCATTCAAAAGTTTTTCAAAATTTTCAAAAATTTTTGTTTTTGTGCGATTTTCAGACAATTTCCATCATTTTTGGATCTTTCGAAAAATTTTCTAAGGTTACCTCAAGAGATACATGCGAACAACCTTGCACCGTAAAAAGGAAGATGTTTTGAAACCTCAATCAAAGCCTTGGACAGACGGACGTAACAGAAGGACCGAATGGAAGAGAACTGAGGAGGACATGGAAGAAGTATATAAAGCTTAGAAAAAATTTCCGAAAAATCAAAAAACCATGGAGATTGTCTGAAAAGGGCACAAAACCTAAAATTTTCGAAGTCGGAATTTTTCTGATCACAAAGGTATTCCACACATTAAAATATTTTGCCAGTAACAAGTTCTGTTATTATGATTAAATTTTAATACTAGGATACTTGGACGACCCGTTCTTCAAGTGCCTGAGCACTGCGGGTCCTAACTATTGTTGTCTTTGATCTATAGACATTTTGATAGGCCTCCTTGGACGAGGGATCGGCCCGTCGCAAGGCCTCTACCTGTACACAGGACAGCACAACTCAGAAAAACGCGGACAAACATCAATGGCTTGAGTGGGATTCGAACCCACGGTCCCAGCGACCAAGCGGCACTAGGCCCACACCTCAGACCGCGTGGCCACTGCGGACACCTAAATTTGAATACAGCTATAAATATACGTGTCTTTGATTGAATTGTAAGTGCCCACTTAAAGTGACCATGCACATTTTATATTCCTCCAATGAAAGAGTCTAGCTTTAATAAAATAAAACTCATTTTTCAACCACCATGAAGGAGCTGAGCTTGAGCTCTTAAACAGGTTAGAGATAGTTAATATCCTACTCAGATAGAAAATTACTAATTACACTTAGTGGAAGTGGAAAAATCATTTGCATGACAGCCATTTTATCTAACATTCTTTATTTTAATTTGAACATGAACATTCAAATAAACAATACTGATTCCACTCTGTTCTTTTATCAATTCATGTATCACAGCCTTCTCATCTCACCCATACTCATCTGAGGGCATTGCCAAAAGAAACAAAAACTCAACTAATTAAAAAAACATGGAACTTACAACCTAATTTGAAATATATAAAGCTGGTATAGGTTCAGTGATGTTCCATTTGAAATCACGCCTATTAACCCTTAAGTCTGAATAGGTCATTTTAGTGTCGCACATTAAGCAGCCCATTTTTATGCCTTCCCACAGACTATGATGATCACTGGCATTGCAAAGCAACATTAGTCATCTTCCAGTTCCATAATCTTGTTATTCAAATTCAGGAGTGGTCTGCTGAGGAGCGCTGTTATGTCTCAAGCTATTTATGGTCAAGGTCTCATTACTGTGCTTCACAGTTTGTCAGAAGATAACCAGGAAAATGGCAATGAAGATCTGGAATGGAGCTGCAATGTTCATACTGATAAAGCATGTGCACATCAGTTTGTGAGGAAGAAAGTGAATCGAACAAAATACATGAATATCTCATTTCTTTTTCAAACAGGTATTTCCTACAGTTTTAGAAGAAACCTCCGATAAGATATGGCAGGTTGGGACAAACCCATACCTATGCAGTAAAAGATTTAAAAATTGAGGAATTCTATAATTTAATGGTCTTTACAATCCACATGGTTCATGGCCAAACAAGATAATATTAGGCATTGCTGGGACAGGGAGAAATAAAAGACCACGTCTCTTCTATTCAAATAATGGTACACGATTGTTTTCTGCATATTCAAAACTATTTACATTTTGCAGACAATGAAAATCTGCGAATAAAAATTCTCCTAAGTGTAAGAGATTTTGTATGTTTTCAAAAGTATCAAACACTCGAAATTCAAGATTTTCAGGCATACTGGCGTAATGAACACTTTCCAAAAGATTAAATCATTGTCCTGTTCAAGAGGAAAGCTGTGTTCATGTAGTATAACCCTAAAAAAACAAACACTTTGTAATAATGTTTCACAAAATGTGTGTTGCAACAGGTTACACTTTTGACATGAATACGTATCCCAGTACGCAGTGATAAATTGTTGCTACTCGTGCCATCCCTACCCACGACATTGTGCTGCAGCTTGTCTGAAAAGTAGAGTGAACTGGCCGTACATTGTGTATATCCGCAATTGTTTCTTCTCTCCAGCAGTTTGACAAACTCTATAAGAGGAAAAATAAATTGCTATACCAAAGTCCACCACAAAAGGAAGACCATTCCACCCACATGAAGACCAAAGGGCTTAAGAAGAAAGCTTATACAGAGACCTTGGTATGATGGATGGGTAAAGGGAAGGTCTCTGTACTGACCAACATTCATGCTCCACTAGAAGATAGAAACCTCAGAGATAAATCTGGTAATATTGTGAAACTTACGATCCATGAGGATTACAATACCCACATGCGTGTGGGCAAAAATGACCAGATATCCAATGGTTATGGAATAAGTAGGACCTAAAAGTGACGAAAACGTTCTTCATCCATCTATTGTGGCGAACAAAACCTGTAACACATTCTGGGAGCAGTTGGTAAGAGACCAGAATGTGTGCTGC